TCTTTAAATAAATTAAATGTTCAGTTAAAAATCTCTTAAGAAGTTGAGCCACGAATAAATAATAGTCACTTAAACTAAAATCAGAAATTTCTGTTCCAGTAGCCTCTTCCTAATCTAGAGCAAGTACATGCCGTGCAGTCACATGAAAAGTGGCAAAGTAGCTGTCACCATTCATTTCTTTTAAATTACCATGAATGCCACCTCAATCTCGGATGTCCACCTCATTGAGATACTTTCCTGCAGACAAAGTTAAACTTCCATGTTTTGTGGAATGCCATATCTGTAGCAACGTTTTGCAATCGCTGATACTAAAGTCAAAATCCTTTGTAGCACGCTTTCATATTAAATGTGTATTAATATATTGAAGCTACCTGAATAACATAATTTCTTGGCCCATTTCGTTTATTTTTTGAGTAGGCTTTTTTGTACAGCTGAAAGCATCCGTTTTATTTCTACAAATCTCTATCATTTTTATAACGCGAACATCTTCAATAGATTTTTGTAATAATGATACAATTTTATAGTTTCAGTGTCGCTTTATTTTTAGCAGTTCAATCGATTCATTTGAAAGAACTTGGTAATGTTTTTTGAGTCCACCTCGAAATAATTCGCAATCAACAAGTTATGATTGGAGACACCAATAGATCATACCTTGTGATCAAAAATGAACGAGAATTTTAATTTTTAAATTCCCGCGCTTATCCAATAGGTAAATTTTTTTATTTTTACGCTGGCAAGAGTATTACACACATTCTGTTTACGCATATCGTACGATTAGTTTTTGTTTGGCGTCTATAGAAAGAGGTCGAAAAATTTTCGTGTGGCGATTTTTAGCTGAATTTCATTCAAAAAAAGCGTCGTTGTGATGTGACCAAAAAAATGATTTTCAACGCAGATAGTGAGCCCACATTCATCGAAGGCATCATAACTGGTAATGAAACATGGGTCTATGAATTTGACATGCCCAGCAAACAACAATCGACCGAATGGTGCTTCGAAGGTGAGCCGAAACCGAAAAGAGAACGTCAAAGTCGGTCCAAAATCAAGGTTATGCTGACTGTTTTCTTCGATATTCGTGGTGTGGTGCACTATGAATTCCTTCCGGACGGTTAATAAGGAGTATTATTTGACCGTTATGCGTCGTTTACGTGAGGCCATTCGCAAAAAGAGGTCAGATTTATGAAAGGAAAACTCATGGATTTTACACCACGATAACGCACTGGCTCACACTGCGTTAGTTGTGTCGCAGTTGTTAGCCAAAAACTCAACTTATATCATCAACCAAGCACCGTACTATCCAGATATGGCCCCGTATGACTTTTTCCTCTTCTCCCGACTCAAATTGCCATTGCGAAGACCATAGACGCATTTTGAGAACATAAAGGCCATAAAAGAGAACTCGCTGCGTGAACTAAAGGCTATACTTTCGGCGACCTATAAAACTTGTATGGAAAATTGGATCAAGCGTTGGTATGCATGTATTGCCGCAGGTGGAGAGTACTTTGAAGGCGATAATAAAGAAAATTATTCAAAATTAAAATTTTTCGTTTTTTTTTAAATTCTCGTTCTTTTTTGATTATAAGGTAATCAATTTCGATTAATTTGTGTTAAAATAATTTAATAGCTATTAAAGCTAAATTTAGCTTTAACTGCTTTTGATCTTTGTTACTATAAAACTTTTTGCTCTTAACCACAGTAGTGCCATATCTTTTGATATAGATCTATATTCTTGGATATAACTTTGTAGTAATTAATGCCAATTCTATCATAGTTCTTCACATTCAATTATAAATTCTGCGCCATATTCCTCACATACTTCTTCTTCTTTTAATTCAATTTCTTCGACCACACTATCGTAATTTACTTCTATTGATATATTTTCAGTATCATCACTTAACATTTCCAGTTGATGCATTTTTTGTCCTCGAATGCGATGTAACCTAGGTGGAACATAATTATGCGCTTTAATCTTATGTATACGAAGACCAGCATGTCGGCTGTAGGTATTTCCGCATATATCGCACACTAAACGTTTTTTATTTGTTTTTTCGTCTATAATGAACGAATGTTTATTATACTTCATTTTAGTCTTCATTTCCAATTCTTCTAAGGTGCCTTCAAGAACTATGTGAAAACGTTTCCTATGACTCTGTAAACCACTGAAATCATTAAACTTACAACCACATATTTTACACACAATTTTTTCATAATGTACACCGTTACGGTGTTCCATTAAATGTTTTCTTCGTAAAAACACTTTACCACATTGCTCGCAAACATGGTTCCGTTCGTTGGAGTGTACTTTTATATGTTCAGTAAGATGTGATTTACGGAAAAATGTTTTTGCGCAATTATTACACTTGTATTTAGGAGGTTCATGTAACACTTTATGCATTTTATACCGCGTTAGCGTAGGAAACTGTTTTCCGCAAATTTCACATACTTCATGTTGACTGTCGGATTCCACATATATCGATTTACTTACACAGTTATGCGCATTCAACTTTTCCACATTCAAGAAACGCCAACTGCAGTCAGAACATCTGTATGGGAAATCGCTTAATTTGTGACTTCTAGTTTGATGCAATTGCAATTGATTTTCATCTCTAAAGCAGCGTTCGCAAATATCACATAAGCGCCTAGATACAGCAATTTCATTTTCATCATTTGGTAGAAATTCAGAGCATTTCTCAAAGTATTCTTGATATTTTTTATGAATAGTGTTTTCAAAATTTTTATTAGTTGTGCAACATGTCCTACGATACCATTTTCTTATGCGACATAAACTTTTATGCATTGATTGTGTCGACATTGTTAACTGCCATTTTTTGTTAAGCGCTGCAGTCAATGCGTCAACTGCTAGGTCGTATGCTGTTTTTGAATTATGACGTGCTAACCATAATGCAGGAAAACTTTTGAGCATATCTAAAAAATCCAGCACAATGTGTTTGTCCGTTGTTGTAAAGAGTATCTAAAATCTAGAAACTTTAAATTTGCAAATTCAATATTTTAAAAACATTTCCTACTTGGTTCGTGGGTTTCAAGATTGACAATTCTTCTTCTCGTTCAATACCTTCATTGGAGGATTCTTCGGAAAAATTCTGATTAAGCAAATAAAAAAAATAAAAAGTTTTTTAAAATAAAACACATTTTCTTAATATATGGTACGTACTTCTAAATACTGCTCACACTCATTTTCTTCAAATGTATAATTAAGATTTATCTCATGATTTATAATTGCTTCTATACCAAGTTCATGTCTTTCATCTGCTACGTACACATCGCTTTGACTAGTTTCTAATTTTTCTTCAACAATAATTTCTGTAATAGAATTGGTGCGGTTACGATGTTGATCTCTAACGTGGTTTGCAAATTTTTCCCAATTCTCTAAAGAAAACACATTAGAACATTTATAACAATATATTGAGTAATCTTCATTGTTTTTAGTAGCTTTAACCATTCCACACAGGTAACTGTCATCATCTTTGTCTAGTAACTTCTCAATATTGTCGTATAAAATTTTATTGTCAAATTGCTCTTCATTTATACTGTAAGATATTTTATTATTTTACTGCCGTAAGAATTAAATTTACACTTACAAATCAATTAAATCCTCCGTTTCTTTGTGGTGCAACTTCTTAGTGTCCAATGTTGTTGTACAATCACTTGTTAGTCTTTTTGGTGCTATGCCTGGTTTCCCGATTGAAACTCGATCCAAGTTGAGGGTTGGAACTACAGCTGGTTTAAGGCGTTTTCGACCCGCATTTTGCTTAAAATCATCTTTACGAAAATGCTTTTCACATATGCGCGAGGTATCTTTTAATAACATCCCACAGGCAATGTTCCAAAGTTCTCGCTTATGTCGCTTCTTTGGTACATGGTACATTTTAATATTTTCCGCAGCCCAAGTTGTGTTACAAATACTGTCAATACAAAATAGAATTTAATGAAAAATAAAAAATTTATTAAAAAAATATGTTTTTTTTTTATTTACCTACAACTAACGCGCATATTTAATATTCATTTAAAACAAAATTTATTAACAAAATTTTCTTCTTCTTCTAACAATTAGAATAAACATTCACAATAGTTATTATTAACAGTAGCAATTATTTTGTACAAATGTTGATTATATATTTAAATTAAAATATTTATATCGTTATTCTTAATAATGTTAAGACTTGTATTACTTATAATATATCATAAATAGTTATAAATAAATATATAATTTTTATAAATTAGCTTAATTAGTCTTATAATTTTTTATACTAATTAATATAATATTTAAGCACTGGTTTGGAATACTTCCACATACCCCAGATTAAATATCACAAGTATAAATCTAATATTATATATATTTTTTATCCGCACGAATAATACGCTAAAAAGTCACGGTCAGGAAATATATAAGGGATAGAGCCCTAAAGCTATACGCGAAAACTGACAGGCTGCCATACATAGCACTATCTAATCTTAGAGCAGTCACTAGCCGTACGGGGTGGTATGCAGATCTTAGATCAGTCATCGAATAATCAACGAAACTTGTGAGGAATATATAAAGAGAAGGGTGGGACTCTGTAGAAATCCCCCCGCTAAGAAAGAGTAAAAGTGCCTAGTTGCATTAACACAGAAAAACGTTAACATAAGATATTCTTTGATTTCTCAAAATAAAAATTCTTTCGTATTAGTTCCATGATGAAATCCTGTGTTAGTTGATAATATGTAGGGCAGGGTATTTATAGTCACGGATAATAATAATCATAATTACTTAACTTTTTAAATTGTTATGGAATAAATTATCTTTGATTCTCGAATACTCTAATATTCGAATACCCTAAGGAATATCTACATTCGGAAACATTAGAACAGAAGAAATGACGTTAACAAAATCGACTACAGCCCATACAAATTTACATTCAATATATATAAAATTATTATTTATGTTTTTTAAAAAAATGTATATTTATTGTGTTGAAGTTTAATATACAAGTTTTGATATAAAAAACAAAAAAAAAAAGTTAAATAAATTTTAAACACCACTGCGTTAAGCTTAAGTATTGTCGCTTTAGTAACAAAAATGACGAATACGATATTTTTTTATTTCTACTTATTATAAAAAACTAATTTATACTTTTTTTGCATTTTCAGTTATCCACTCACGCAACTTAAACACGTTAACATAAACTCCTGGATAATTTGGATCGGCACAGCCTAAACCAAAAGATACAACTCCAACTAATGAACCGTCAGCAACTAAAGGACCTCCAGAATCTCCTGGGCATGCATCTTTATCATCGGCTGCGGCACAAATCGTGTTTGAATCAATTATAAAATCTTCATATGCAGCCGAACATGTTTTACGGTCTACAATATTTAAATTAACATACTGTAACTGTGATGGAAGCGAAGAATTTCCTTCTTTAAGAATTCCCCAACCAGTAACAACTGCTGAAGTACCATCACCTGGTTCATTAGTAGTTAATGGTATGGGTTTAATATTACTACCCAATGGTAATGGAGATTTTAAACGTATGACGGCAATATCATTATTCACAACGTCTGGATCATAATCTTTATGACTCCTAAAAGCAGCTACTTTAACGACCACACCACCTTTATCCCAGTAAGATGAACCAGCTCTTATTTGTAATTTGGAAACATCATCATTTTTAAAACAGTGAGCGGCAGTAACAATTATTTTATCATTAAATATAGAACCGCCACACGTATGTTTCCCCGAGTGTTGTAATGATATTTGCCATGGATAATCTGAAATGTTTCCAGGTAATCCACCAGCAATGCGTACTTCTACTTTAGGATACCGTAAACTCAGTACACAGGAACATATTGATAATAAAATTACTAACTTGATCATTGTCGATGTTTGTAAATAAATTCTTTCTGTAGTTTCTTCACTATTTATATTAAATATTGTAACATATGCAAGAATTAATAGACTAATATACTTTTTATATAAGAATATAGTTAATGTATGTATTTACTGGGTTTATCAGTTAATTACTTTACTGTCGAATATAATTTTTAAAAAATTGTAAGCTTTTTCGTGGGGAGTAATATATTATAATATCTGTTTATTTTAGGTGTGAAAAGAAAAATATATATAAATAAATACTTAGCTTGATAAGCTTAATGTTTATAAATAATGGGTGTTCATAACAATTACTAATGGCGTTTTGTTTGATTTTACAACTAATGCAAAGACAATAATTTAAATTTCATTAAGTTATTGTTGTATTTGTTAGATCTTCTTAAGTAAATAACACCCAAGAAACGCAAATCTTTAAAATTCGTATATATTTTGACAAAATTTGATGTTTACAGAGACATACTGCATTGGAGAAATATGTGTGTAATTCGGAGAGATTACTAGTATTGGCAGATAAAGAATTTTAAAATTAGAATAGATATCTTTTATTTGAAGAGCTAAAACATAAAAAAATACCTCTTTTTTTAGTTTGTCATGATTAAAAAAATATGTTTTCTTTTCTTGTTAGAAGAGTTCGAATAACAAAAAAAAGACAAGATCAAAAATTTAATTAATTTATTGAAATTTGACTGACCATACAACGCTGTTTCAAGTATTGCCAAATATTCATCATAAGTGGTCTTAGAAAATATTCAAATTTCTTTTTAATTACTTTATAATCCATATATAATTTATTTGGACTGCAAGTGCCAGCCTTAGAACTCATGCCTGTCAAATTACATACGAAGACTAATAAGACGTGTTACTCTTGGCAAGAAAAAATTAACATTTAAATATATTTTCTATATCTTCCTCTCATCCTTTCTTTTGTCAATAGACCTTCAATTTACTTGTTCCATTATATATATATATATTAAGAAATATTAAGTATATCAAGAAAGTTGCATATATCCATATTCCTTTTGAAAATTTGATTAAAAAAAGTGCGAATCGCTTTGATCTGCTTGTAACTGCAAAAGTCAATTTAATTATGGATTCAGTTAAAGAAGGCTAGTAAATAAGACATCACGATATCCCTCAGAAATTGAAGAGCTACCATAAAGCAAAAATAATAAATAGAAATAGTGTACCTAATTTTATTCAAGGCAGTTTATTGATATTAAGTGTCAATGCATAAATTATCGTTGCTTTTAATATTTAAAATTATTTTAACAATCAATATATATAAATATGTGACAAGTATTGTTACAATACTTGTTTTCTTCAAGTAAATAAGCAAATATTTTTTTCCATTCATGAATTTTTGCAAAAAAGTGATTTGCTTAAAGCAGTAAAAATTAGCAACAATTTGCTTTGCCTAGTGAAGATGTCATATAAACAATTATTACAAATGTATGTTGTGATCTTACTTTCTTTAACAGAATTGTATTAATTTCTGTTAAAATCATAATAACAAAATATATGGTATGTAGAAAATGTGGATTGTGTTCATTGGACACCTAATGTTGGTATGCTTCAACGAAAGCTCTAAAGTGTATAAGAGCGAACTGCGACATCTTATAGAATTTATTATTTTTGTGTACTATTAACTTTTTAGTCTCTTAAACACAGTGGCGTAACTACAGGGAAGCAACTGGAAGCAACGCTTTCGGGCCCCCGAATTTAGGGGGCCCACTATAAATTTTTGTATTCATTGTATTTCTTTTTAATAAATTTTCAAAAGTGGGACGAAACGTTTTTTGTTGGAATAACTTCATATTGCATTTTATAAAAGATACGTAAATTTTAAATTTAAAGTACATAATATGTATGTACTTCAAATTTAAAATTTAAAGTACACAATATGTATGTACTTCAAATAAAATATTAAACCTATTTATGAAATAAAAAAGTTTTTCTAAGAAAAATATGTGTCTTGATCGAGAGTTTATATGGAAGCTATATCTAAATTTAAACCCATTTGAAAATAATTTTGTACGTTGTCTTTTGCAAATATCAGTACTGTATACACCATATTCCATTTGAATACCTTTATTAAAAACGGAGAAACCTTATATCCGATTGTTTAGTTTATATCACAGCTACAAGAAATAGACGTCCAATTTCAATCAAATCAAATGGTGAACAGGGTGCGCTCCCGGAAAGTATGTGTATAAAGTTTTATTCGAAGAGTTCAAAAGCTGAGAGAGTAGTTTGAACTGTAAAAGTATACTGATATATACTTAATGGTATTTCCGAAGTTTCCTTTAATGCGTTACGAAAATATTGACAAACCTTATATACCCTTTTTACATTTTTTCGTGTAAAGAGTATAAAAAGAGGGGCCCCTTAGTATGTTGGTAGGGGCCCCTTAGTTAGAATTTGCTTACAGGCCTAAAAAATGTAGTTACGCCACTGCTTAAACATGTTATGCTGCAATGGAACAAGATTTATTTCTGATTCCTTTTTGTACAAATAAAATTGAATATTGTATCACCAAAAAAAACAGTTGATTTATTTCTTAAATGTTCTTTTATTTTCTTTTTAACTGCAAACAATATTAGATAATATTAGCATTACTAATGACCCAAGTACGTAGCTCAGCAACATTGGAATAAACACCTGGATAACTTGCATATGCACAGCCATAACCCCAAGAAACAACTCCAACAAGTGCACCACCAGATACTAATGGACCACCAGAATCTCCTTGGCAAGCATCTTTACCACTGGCTGCAGCGCAAATCATAGTTGCTTTTACAGATGAACCATAACCATAAGACGAAGATGCGCATTGTGTGCGACTTACAATATTTACATTAACATATTGCAAGGTTGCTGGAATGCTTGAAGATCCGTAAGATAGTGTACCCCAACCAGAAACAACAGCAGAGGCGCCATTTACTGGATCGTAGGTGGCCAAGGATATTGCCTTAATATTAGTACCCAATGGTAGTGAAGAGCTTAAACGTATTACGGCAATATCATTAATCATAGTGCTTGGATTATAACCTTCATGATTCTTAAAAGCAGCTACTTTAACGACAACACCACCACTATTCCAGTATGTAGAACCAGCTCTAATTTGTAATGAGGAGGCAGCGACATTTTGCAAGCAGTGAGCAGCAGTGACAATTATATTAGCATTATATATAGAGCCACCGCATGAGTGTGATCCCGAGCGTTGCAATGAGATTTGCCATGGATAAGAACTTATTGATCCTGCTTGACCACCAACAATACGTCCATCGAGTTGTGGCAATAAGCCATCAGGCAAACCTGCTCCCAGTGCACAGGCAAAGAGTGATAATAAAATTACTGACTTTATCATTGTAAATTTTGCAATTAAATTCTTTCTGCAATTGCAGCAGTATTTATATCAATATATTGCACTACATGCTATGTAAATAAGGGATCTAAGGGGTTTGATAATATTACTTCATACCTTGAAATAGTTTCTGTAAGTTCATTTGTTATCAATAATAATATCTATTAAATATTATAATAACTTTCAAATCTTTTTTAATTATCTGTGAAGTTGGTTGTACATTGCGCCATATTTCAATATACAGCGATACAATTGGCACTTATATGTATATAAACATACGTATATATACCTATAAATACTGTCTAGAGACAATAAATTATGGACTTAGTGTAATGAAATCAAAAAAAAGTATTTAAATTATTAACAAGTATGGATTTTCTTACAAGTGTTATATATGATGTATAATAATTTCTTGGAAAATAGTGGTGTATAAAAGTATATACTATTTATAGTATATATGTACTTTAACTATACATACCTATATATGTTATATATATTAAGTATACATATCATAATAGTATGTAATATCCATATATCTACTACTTCGTAAAGCAATATCGTGCAGGAAAACTGATAAGTACGAAGTTTTAATTTTTCTATAATAAATTAAATTAATAGATCTATAAAGAAAGGAAATATTATTGTAACGGTAGGGTAAAGCAGAGAGAGAGTACACATTATTTATCAATTTAAATAATCTTAATGATTAGATATGTTAATTTAAGCTAGAACAAGATATTCAGAAAGGCAACCTTGTATTGAAGGTAAGTTAAGCAGATTGAATATAAACTACATATATCAAGATTTAAATATGTTGTGCCTTACTGGATATGAATCATTTGTGCTAAAGAATGTGTGCGCAGTGATCTACATGATATTAAGGTCTAGAGATGTAGTTGCAATTTGAGCATGCGCCAAACATAGACTGATAAATTTGTGTCTAGTATATAACTATTCGTTGCTATAGTCTAAACTAAGTCGAGTCAGTATAGCGATTCTGGGTTTTCGTGTTTTTTCGTGAAGAGTGAAAATCTTGTAGAGAACCAGAATTCTATGAGGGTGTGTACTCCAAGAATATATAACATCACTGTGTAGTGTAAACGATGTCAAAAATTATTCTCACATTGATTGGCCTTCTATTTTTAGGTATGTATTCAATGTATTACTTTTTTATCAAACTAGGCTTTATAATAGAACTAATATACCTTTTTCTTCTGGTAGTTATTAATATTTTGATAGACATATATTGAATAACCAGCCAGGACTTATGTTACTTTCAATTTAGTGCACTAAACTATTAGTCTAAATACTAATAGTTATTTTCGGATAAATGTTTCTTTATCTGAAAACTAACAACAGTAAAAATATATGTCAAACCTACAAATATGCATTAAGATTTCTCTATATATAAATGATTTCTACATCCAGTGCACATTTTTTCTTTTTTTTCAATATTCATAAATTTACTCTATATTTTTCACTGATAATAAAAATTTCATATCTGTCTTTTTTAATATTCTTCACAACCCAAGTTACTTCTTACAGTCATATAAAACTCTTTGTTATAACAAGTATTGGTAAG